CGTACAGCGTTACCACTCGTCCAATTCTGGACGTGAACAAAAAACAGAAACGATAAATCAGAGGGAAAGTGACGCTGCGGATGCTGAGGGTAACGGGAACAAGAGAGGTGCAGATTCAGGGCTTGATAATGCAGAGGAAGAACAGGATACAGACGAGGAGGAGCAGGAGGAGACAATACATACCCCTAAAAAGAAAAGGAGCTCAGGTAGACCCATAGGAAGGCCGAAGAGAAATGCAGCAGGCAGCTTGGTTCCAGCAGAGGAAACGCAAGGTCAGTGTTCAAACACAAAGACTGCCAGAGCAAAGGAGCAGAAGTTAAAGAGAACCCGCTGCAGCGATGAAGAGATTGAGGGCGAGCCGCTCGAAAGCGACATATCCTTTGACTCGGAAGAAAGGAGCGAGAAAGTGACATCGAACACGTCGAGAGGGAGGGCAAAAAATGATGAGAGTGACTCAAACTTTGAGCCTGAAAACTCTCAGAAAAAGAGGTGCAGCAGCCAGAAGAGTGGGAAGGGCTCGGGGAAGCGCAGAGGAAGACCAAGAAAGAATCAAGTAATTGAAGACACATAAAAAAAACCACATTGAGCTAAAAAACAAAAACGGTTACTGAGTTGAGCATTTAGTAAGAGAAATACAGTTTAGAGTGTCATAAGGTCTTCTGTGACGTTTCACATGCACACTGTTTTCTTTGCCTTTAGCTGTTAACACATACATGGTGTTAAGTGCCTGTGTTCCTTTGTGTTGTAAATATTGAGTAACTCCATAATAGTGTAATTTACTGTATATAAACAGCGGATGTGTTCATTGGTGAAAGGATGGATGGTATGTGCAATTCTCTGTCTGCTTTATTATACATGTGTCCCGGGAAGCCGTGACAGCATGGCCGCCATTCGCATGCACAATACCAGGTCCTGAAATTAAAGCAACTAAATATATTTCAGCTATCATTCACTTTTTTACGTTTACACCTTCGCTTTTCCTGCTGTGAAATGTCAGACTGCATTTTGGCCGCTGTCTTTGCGACATCCACAATAAGTGACTTCTAATAATGCTACATGTAAATCCAATATTTCTGTCTCCACCCCACAACAATAAGAGTGAAAGGATTTGGTCGTATTTGTGTTGTGAGCATTAAGAAGTAACACTGATTCGGGACAGAGATCGGGCTCAAATGAGTTAACCTGCACTGTGGAGGCAGAAATAACAGATGGATGTTATAAAACCTGCACAAATAAAAAGAAAAATATCTGCAAACCAAATATCACTGGGGCCAAGTTAGGAAATGTCAGTAGCCCTTTAATTTACAGGCTGTTAATTACGTAGTCATCATGTAGTACTGTGAAGAAATAGGCAAGGAATAACAGTAAGTAATATTATAAGTATGGGAATAATAAATCAAACGCACCCTTCCAAGCGCTGTGTGTGTTTATGAAGTAAAGATGCACACAGACACCTTTATAATGGCGGAGAACAACACATTGAAGTCGCACAGATTGTTTGACAGCAGGTCTGAGTAGTTGGAATAAAAGTGAACATCATTAAATATCACGACTTATATTTGTAATTTCTGAGATTTGTGCAAGAAACGACTGCCTGTCAGAAACCCACAGATCTCCGTGTCAGACAGCTGCAGCAGGAGCTGACTTTAGCCAGCAGGAAGTTCTGGAAAGGCATTCAATTCAATATTCTATTTAATAGGTACGGAAGAGGATTAGTACGGAGCCCCCCCCCGTGACTGGATAAAAAAAAATAAATAATGTGTGGCCACGCATTAACTATCTCGTTGCCACGCATTATTATTATATAATATATATTATTATTATTATTATTATCCAATGTCACCAGGGGGACTCCGTAGATTAGTGCCAAATGTGAAAATTTTAAAAGTTTAAAGTAAAAATAAGTTCTGACTTAAAAGTAATTATTTAGTTCAAATCAGAATTTAGAGAAAAAAAGATTATTTTTTAAAACTCATAAAATGTTTATATTTGGCCCAATTTATTATTAGTATAATAATGGTAAAGTAATAAATTAAACATAAGATTTATTGTAACCCAGGTCAGACCTGAACCACATCTCTATGTTAAACTATTCAAACAAAGTCTGCAGCAGAGTTCATCCTGTAAACATTGACTGCTTACAGTAATTAAAGAAAAATACCAATATGTGGATTGTTTAATTAATGGTTTTAAAGTTATGTTATCCACAAGACACAGCACAACTACTGCAAAACAAAACAATGAATATAAAAATAGATGCAATAGAAGTAGGTCTTGTCAAATGTCCTGTAATTGAGGTTGAACTGACCTTTTAATCTGTGCTGCTGTGTAAAATTAGTAATCAGATTACTGTTATTTATTTTTAGCAAAAATGGAAATTATTAGCAGGATTACAATTTTAAAATACATTTTGATGCTAAAAATCTTTCCAGTTTCCATTTCCTTTGTTAAAGGTTACATTGTTCTGTTGTTTTATAGAAAACACTTTCATTAATACATTTATTAGGGACCGAGCACTGACCAGTGCAAGGCCCTGTTATAATTGAAGGAATTCTTCTTATTATTCTGCCTCGTGTTGTAATGCATGTCTTGGGCGGCCCGCCAACATTTGCTGGGGACAAAGTCATGGATGAAAGTAATGGAAAGGTCATTGGGCAAATCCTTGCACAAAATTCAAACGTTACCGCGAAATAAATTACCGGTTTGGCGTGTCCCCGTGCCACGGGCTGCCCAAAATGCGAGCGCACCCCGAATCAGCCTCAAGGACCCCCTTTGAACGGCCGACACGTACCGCGCAAACCCGTACGGTATGTGTATCCGAATAACATGAACGCCAGAAAACCCTCTTGGACCCCTAACCGGGCAACACCAACAGCGACCAGTGAGCCAATCTTTGGATCTTAGCCGGCAATTTCTGAGCCGCATTTGCACGCGTTGGTAAATTATGAACGGAACTCCTCCCTCCAGGGAACGTTATCGGGACTCGGACTTTCAGAATTATTGTTACAGGTACAGTTAAAACACCATCGGTACACAGTCACTGTCCTATGGCGTGCCACCGTACTTATGCTCCTCGCTCATAAGTAATTAGCTCCCCCGCCTATGAACAATGAATATGCTGACCTCAAAAATTACAGTTAATAACTGGATAGCGCCACCTACTGGAACAGGAAACGCTTTGCACCATAACTTCAAGCGCGCATTACGTAGATCCAAATTCTCAAATTAAACTTCACGTGTTTTTTGATAAACGAGTACCGGCCACATGAACACCAGATATTATTTTCAGACACACTTTTAGTAGATAGCGCCACCTTACTGGCCAAAGAAGTAAGCGACTCGCACACTGGCGGTTCCTTTCAGCGGATTTACGTTGGAAAATTTTCCTGTTGTGCGTCCATCACTTGTGACGACGCACGTGCTTGCAGCATTCTAATTTGGTACCTTGTTTTATTGCGTATACATAGTTTGATGTTTGCATAGGAGTATCCTAAGTAAACGGGAACAGTAATCAGGGTTACAGCTTCTGCTTAAACTGTTTGTGATACTTGGTTGGGACCAATTAAATCTCTCTCTATTTCCTCCCCATACCCCTATCCCGATTAGTTAGTCTACGTTTTGGGGGAAGAAGTACTGTATAAATCCCGCATCAAAGAAAATCACAATCATGTAAACCGCAAACGGTAAAACACAAATTATTATCCGTTACTTTAGGATTACCATAAAACACAGAAAAATAATGTACAACCAAAAAACAAAGAAAATTAAAAGCTTGCTCAGCACGTGCCGTCGAATACAACAAAAGTATTGGGATCCAAACAAAAATTGGAAAATTCACAGTAACCTCCACGCTCAAAATCCGCCAAATTCGCGCATCATACATACATGGTGCCACGCTACAAACCGGCTGGCCGCTCACTATGTCTTGGAAAACTACTCTATCTGCATGGTCTCATGGTCCACTATAGGTTATTACTTTTATTCAAACACCTCGGTCCGACCAACGTATCTACTTGGAGATTAGGACTAACGATTACGGGCTGGAAGTTTATCGTGGAACTTCTAGTTGCCAGAGATAACAGGGGTGCGCGCTATTAAGCATATTTACTGTATTTGGGATTCACCATCATTTCATGTTCATTGGCGGCGGACTCTTATCAGACAAGTGACGGGCCACGCCATGGACAGGTGACTGATGATACCATGTTTAACATCTCTATAACCCTGTCCTGGTCATAAATCTGGAAAGGTCGATCCATACAGAATTCTTCCCTGGGAGGAGTTGTTCAATCATACAAGGCGTGGCAGAATCCGCCAGAAAGACAACCGCTGTAAATCGCCAGACACGGACACCGACTTTACCCTGTTGGGGCTCTCTCGAGGGTAATGGGATACCAAGAGGGTTTGTGATGTTCGTACTGATATCAACCTACACCATATACGTACTCTGAGCTTTTCTATCGCTTACGGTTTGTCGGCCTTTACAACGCGCTCTCCTTGAGAGAGCCTCGATTCGCGAAGAGGGGCTCCGCTCATTTTTGTGAGCGGACCCGATGCGACAAACGGGGATCCACTGTGCAATACCCAGGATATTTTCGCCATATACGGTTCTTGAAATTATTATGGTGCAATCTCCAGTCCAATCACTTTTCCTGACTTCTTCCCTCATGACTTTTCGCTAGCATGGTTGCGGGGCTCCCGGACCAAACATGCAGTCGAAGGAAAGGCAGGAAAACATAAATAGAAGAATTCCTTCAAATACAAAAGTGCCTTTGCACTAGGTGTACAGTGACTCGAAAAAGGGTCCCTAACGGTTTAAATGTATTAGCCAAAATTGAAGTATATTACTACTAAATAAAAACAACAGGGGAAACGAATGTAATCCTTTAACACAAAAGGAAAAAATTAGGAACCTCGGAAAAAACCTTGATTTAGCATCATAAAATGTATTTAAAAAATATGTAATCCTGCTAAATAATACATCATCACAAATTTATTTGCCTAAAAAATACATAACAATAACAGTAATCTATTATCTAATTTTACTCAGCCAGCACAGGATTAAAAAGGGTTCCGTAAACCTTCAATTACGCAGGACGATTTAGACAGAGACCTCTATCTACTTTGAATCTAATTATTCAACACAATCATTACATTGTTTTGTATTCTGCCCAGTTAGTTGGCTGCTGCTCGACTGTGGCTAACATAACACTTTAAAACTCCATCTATTTAAACAATTTCCACATATTGGTACTTTTCCTTAATTACTGCTAAGCAGTAAATGTTACCAGGATGAACTTACTGTGCCACGACTTGTTTGCATTAGCTATTAATAAACAATAGAGATGTGGTTCAGGGTCTGGGGGACCACAACGGCGGTTTAACAATAAATCTTCAATATTGTCTTAAATATTATTCTAATTACACTAACCATCTCATACTCTCGCCCTCCCCTAAAAACAGTGATAACTAAATTGACCACTAAACAATGATTCAAAACTTTTTAATGAGTTTTAAAAAAAATAAATCTATTTTTCTTAAATCTGATTTGACCTAAATAAAAATTACATGTTTTCTACGTCAGAACTCCCTTGATTCTCTCTACTTTTAAACTTTTTACAATTTTTCAACAGTTTGGCACTTAATCTTTACGGTCCATCACCCTGGTGCAACATTTGGATCATAAACAAATGCAACACTCATAAATCATACATAAACAACACCAAACACCCAGCACAAACAGCGGTTTACCACTCATCCAAATTAATACAAATTTATAATCACCTAAGATAATGGCGTCCCACCCCGGCAATCCAGAGATAGAATACATGCGTAGGCCCACCAAATATAACTATATTCTTATTTTTTGGTTATCCGATCACGGCGGGGGGTGAGGCTCGACTTACCACATCCTCTTTCCTGACACACTACCTTAATTAAAATAGAATATTGAATACCCACACACCGGACACAAACACTAGATCATGGCCATTTCGCAGAACTATCCAAAT